GGAGAGAGAGGGAAAGTGAGTTTGGGATGGAGAGACGGGCCATCGAGCTGGTGTCCCCACAGGCAAGCTGGGCAACACCACGCAGTGCATCTGGAAAATGTGGAGTGAACGACTTGGAAATCTCATCGCAAACGGTCAGGACCGGAGCAGTCACGGAGACTCGGGAACTCCGGCAAGGGGGTGTTCAGCGCCAGCCCGGACGTGCAAAGAAGCCTGGACACACCCAGGAACACCACGGAGACGCACGGTCGGCACCAAAGCCACAGTCCCTGTGGCAGAGTGCACTGTCTGCAGATGCCGCCACAGTAAAAGCAAAACCAGTCAAAAAGCAAAACGAGTTCTCGGGAGAAGAATCAGTCGTGACCAGGAGCTAAGGAACGAATGTCCTGGCATGAGAAGCGCCTTTATGGGCGAGCGTTTCTCCAGCCTGAAGGCCTGTCTTTATTTCTGCTTGCTAGCTAAGCCCTTTAAGGTCCTGTCCATGTTCTGAAAACTCTTGTCATACAGGAGTTTTTGCTTTTTGAAAGAACTCGTAGGAGGCAGGACTGTGGAGAGCACGAAGCTGATTGCATCCTTCATGTGTACACATGACTACTTCCAACTTCACGACGTGCGTCCAAATGTTTCCACTATTGCTGAGGAAACTGCAATCGAATTTACTCTGAGATTTTCTGGAGCAGCAGCACAGGACCTGTCCCCACCTCTCTGTTCCACGGTGGGAGCCACGTGCCGAACAGGGCAGCACTAGGGATGGGGACCAGCCCCTCACTGGGCCATCGGGACCAGCTGCTGAATGTGGCTGTCCATCAGTTACAGAACTCACCTGTTAATTAAATGATGACTGGCAAATCTCCCGGGGCACTTTCTCATCAACAGTCCATTCTATAAGACGAGTCCAAAGACGATCCTGCTTTGAAAAATGACAGAGCCCAACTCGCTCTTTTCTGCTGCTGCATTTACTCCTGGGCACCTCTGAAGTAGGTGTGAAAGGTGGAAGGTGGAAGAACTGTAGACGAGTGGAAAATGTTCATCTGTCTACGTCACAGTTTCTACAGGTCAGCTTTTGTGCTATGCTTTTTTTTTTAAAGATGATGTAAATTGTATTGTTTATTGTTATTAATGAAACTGAGAGGAGATTTTGAAGTTTCAGGCAATGCCCTAAATCTGACTCTTAGTGTCAAAAAAAGAAGAGGAAATAGACAAGAAAGAAAAGAAACTAGTGGGAATTTTTAGTTCAATATACTTTATAGCATTTGAATTTTAATAACTTTTTCTTTTTCAGATGGCCAAAGTTACCAAATCATCATTAACACACATGTGGCCCATTATTCTACCTTTCAAAAGAGTTATTATTGAAATGAATATGTTTATGTGTCTATTTCTTAGTATATTTCATAAGAAATTTAAAGACATGATCCCCTACATGAGAAAAAAATATAACCCCTAACAAAAATCAAATCTCACTTAGAAGTTCAAAAAAATTTATAATTACACATCGAGTGGGAAGTGGCACTTTCCTGGTCTCTGACTTGCTTCCTCATTTTTCCCCATTGCCATAGTGAGGGACGTTTTTGTCGTTAGAGGAACTGAGAACACATGAAGTGACCGCCATGAAGAACGTGAGACTCAGAAGTGGGCAAAGGGCCGAAGACCAGCTGCAGGCACAGAGCCGCCCTGGAAAAGGTGGGAAATGACAAAGCGGAGGATTTCGATGAGCAGGAAAGCATCCTTTCTTTGTCCTCGGACTTATCAGGACTATTCATAAACAGTAGTGTTGGAAGGTTGGACCATACACCTTGAAAATAATTTTCGTTGACAATAGCTATGGCTGTGGGTGTGAGTCTAATAGATAAATGAGACACGGCAAGTGTACAGAATTTTCTCTCATGAGAAGATATGATGATGGCCAGCAGTTCTCCAACTTTTGGGGTTCAGGGACCCTTTTTACAAAGTTATCGACAACTCTAAAGAGCTTTAATGTATGTATGTGAGATCTACCATTATGTACCTCAGGAGAAATTAAAACAGAAAACTTGAAAGCACAAGAATACACATAATGCCAGAATATTCCACATCGTGTAGCCTCAGGAAAATCTCCACTATATTCTCTTTAGAGACTAGAGTTTGAAAAGGCAAATAGCATCTTAATATTATTACAAAAGTTGTTTTGACCTCATGGACCCTCCTGAAAGAGTCTCAGGGACACCCTTCCCCCACCCAGGCTCCCAGAATGCACTTCGGGAACTGCTGATATAGACCAAACCTATGAAATTTTGAAAGTTTCTCCAAGGACCCCCAGCTTGCTTGTCAGGAGAGGAGGCAAAATGGACAGGGCTATGATTTCCCCACCCTTCTCCCACTATAGAACGTTAAAAAAAATTTTTATATATTTTATTTATCAGGATTCTAGAGTCATCATCTTCCTTTGAACATAGAATTTCATGGCAAAAAAATTTAAAAAACAGTTTTTAAATCACTGGTAGAATGTATATTGTGGAATATAGTGTATGATAGAGAGAAGAAACCCTAAAGATTAGAGAAAATATGATCTTCTTTCAAAAAAGGAAAATATTTACAAAGAACAACAAATGTTGGCGAGGATGCGGAGAAAAGGGACCCCTCATACACTGTTGGTGGGGTTGCACATTGGTACAGCCGCTATGCAAAAGTCTGGAGATTTCTCAAAAAATTAAAAATGGATATGAGCAAAGACATGCACAGGAGGCTGAGTGTGTAAACGATATAGGTAGAGGTGGGAAAAATTGCAGGAGGAAATCAAGACAAATCTATTTTAGGGGCAGAGTGGGCATCAGTGTCAAATACTGCTGATAAGTCAAGTAAGATGGAACTGAAAATGCCCACTAGCCTCTGCTACGCTGATGTTGTTGGAAGCCTCAGTAAAAATGCTTTGACGGACATTATTTCACTTGTATGTGGAATCTAAGGAACAAAAAGAACAAACTAATCAAAAACAGACTCACAAATATAGAGGACAATCTGGTGACAGCCAGAGGGGAGAGGGGTTGGGGGGGGGCTGGGAAAATGGGGTGAAGGGTTAAAATGGTATAAATTAGTATGGGGCTGGGAAAATGGGGTGAAGGGTTAAAAAAGTATAAATTAGTATTTGATAGATGGCCACAGGGGTGGGGAGCACGGCACAGGGAATGCAGTCAGCATTAATATAATGGCCGGGTGGAGAGCCAGAGGAGAGAAAGAGCAATCAGGGGGATCGTGAACTATGATTCGTGAACTATATAAATATCTAACCAATGTACTGTATGCTCGAAACTAATAAAATAAAATTTTTTAAAAAGGGGAAATATTTCGATCAAGGATTTACGTTTTAGTTGTAAGAGCAGTAGAAACATTAAGTTTCTTAGAAGAACCCAAAAACCATGTCGAATTTAAAAAAAGTTCATGAAATACATATTAGCAAAAAATATATATATATTTTAGTAACATATATAGTAACATCTATAAGTAAATGTATTTATTCAAAAATTATGTATTAAATACCTACTATGTGCCTGGTCCTAGGCTAGGTACAGCATAAATTCCCTTTTTTAATTAAAAAAAAAATCGGCAAATTCATTTTGGAGGTTTGCCAAGGCAGGAGAGGGACGATGAAAGGACAGTAGCATCCGCAGGTGCCGTGGGGACACTGGCCGAACTCGCACTGTGACAGCTGTGACAGAGGGAGCCTCCAGCTTGAAGTCCTAAAACCAGGATCTGCCCTTAGGAAACCCGCTAAAATACTGAGTTACGGGGCAAATTTTAACTGCTCTGTGCTTCAGTTTCCCAGTTATGCCTAATCCTGACCTTTCAGTATAAAGACAGCAGAACTATCAATATGAAAAAGTCTTAGAATTAAAGGTGCTGATAATGAATTAATCAAGGTATTTGTAAACTTTGGGTTGAAGAATAACATGCACACAGAAAAGTGCACATGAGACTAGCAGCAGCCAATCAAGAGCTAGACCAGCACAAAGCCCAAACCTGCATCTTGGGGTCCCTCCCTGCTCCCCAGGGAACCTGCTGCTCTGGCTTCTGAGAGCACAGGTCGCTTTTGCATTTTTGTGCTTCGCTTGCAAGACGTGCTCTTTGGGATCTGGCTTCTTTCTCTCAACATTGTGTTGTAAAACCCAAGCACATCGTTGAAGGTAGTATTAGACTATGCATTCTCTGTGCTGTATAACACTCCGCTGTGTGGGTATGTCACAATTTAGGTGTCCATTCTATTGTTGGGGTATTCGAGTCATTTCATGTGTAGGCTTTTAGCCACAGAAAAGACCAGACACTCTCTTGGGTCAGAAGGAGGGAGCCACAGATGAAATTCACATCCCCTTTCTACTTGAAGTTTATCTGATGAAGGGAACTTTTTGTTTTCCCTCCATGTCAGGATTAGAGCTGATCTATAAATTAACTATTAATAATTTTGACTAGCAGTGAGGAGAAAGAGAAGAGATTAATACATTGACAGCTGGCTCTAACGGACTCTCTTCCTAATTCCAAAGGAGACAGACCTGGCTTTAGATGGTGACCAATTCTGCATGGTATGTCTTGGGTTTCTTGGAGTGACAATATCCTGTACCCAGAGGGTGCAAATCAGTGTCTATGATGATGGATAAACAGAGGTGATGGTGGGTGGGAGAGGAGACAGCACCCAAACAGGATACCAAAAAAAAAAAAAAATAGGAAAGAGCACCTGAAATTACCCCTTTATAAAATAAAATGATATTTGCGTACAGAATAACACGATTTCTATTCACACATCCCACCTGTGACATTAATCAGAGCCTTCGCCTATGGTCGTATGTCATCTTTTCCACCCTTGGTAGTTTACAGACTTTCTACTTTAATGTGGAAGAAAAAAAAAAAAATTAAAGAACTAGAGCTGCCCTAAAAGGAATGAGGAAGTGAGCGCTCCGTGGCGTCTGTGTGGCAGCCCGGGCTGTTCTTTCCGGCCCCGTGTTTTCTGAATTTCCACCTGCCCGCCCCCTCGCTTATAATGCAGAGCATGTGAAGTCAGAGCCCTCAGTCTCCTTCTCTGCCCGTGGATTAGCAGGAGCAGAGTGTCATGCTGTTTCTCCCACTCTCCCCAGCCTACCGGAGGTAAAGGAACTCTGGCGGGAGGCCCTCCGAGGGTAAGTACCATAAAATTATATGACAAGAAAGTGAGTCACTCAGCGGGTCACTGGTCTTTTAGATCGTATCCAACGGAAAACAGCTACATGGAGTTATAAAGACTCTGAACACGGGAAGCTCTGCTTCAACGTGAAGCCTGCGTGATGGGGACAGAGGAATTCTATACATGTTTTATCTTTGTTTTATGTCTACTATAAGTCACATCCGGGAATAAGATTTTCTCTTTACGAGTTAGATGAGCAGATTTATGCAAAGCTCTTAATACAGTACCTGACACATATTGAGCGCTCAAGAAAAAATGTTGGTTGTTATTGTCCTTGTTATGTAGATTATCTCTCGATGGGAATGCAATAAATGCCAAACAAAGTTTGGCGTGGTGATGATATCGGGTTAATGAATTTAGAAAGAAGTGTGTTCGCATGCTGTTCTTAACAGCATAAGACATCTGGTAGCATACAACTGTACTTTAAATGAAAACTTTTCTACCAAATAGTTTCAAACTTTGTGTTTTGGCAAAGTGGCACTGAAATTGGCCACCTTATCACATGTGTCCCTCCTAACCTTTTCCCATATGATTTCTTGTAGGCAGAGTCGAGGCCACACTGGAGTGAAATTCATCACTGGACAGTCAGCCAAAATTCTAATGAAGTTGATAAGCAGCTGCAATGCTGTATGCACCCCTTTTATATTTATTAATTCATATTTTTTAGAGTCACGAGTCAAAGATGCTTACCTAATTTAATTTTTTTTTCTCTTGTAGTCGAAAACACTAAATGTGAATAATATGGAGACATTAATTGAATGTCAATCAGAGGTAAGAAAGCAACTTTTTAAAGCTTTTATCTGCACCGTGAGGTGAAAAACTTTGTTTTATTTTGATATTGTCTGTTTATTTAATCATCAGAATAGAAAACTCATATCATAAATGCACGTTAGTGAGGCTTTCATATGACAGCAATCAAGACTTTGACATTGATTCTAGAAGCTAGAAAAAAATGAGTGGACTCTATTGACTAATTCCTAATACATAAAATGTTATATGTGTATTTTGACGAAAAGACTGGGTAGGTTTCTTCAGTCATTATTTTTAACTTAAATAAATATATTTTTCAGAGCGATATCAAGGAACATCCTCTATTGGCATCAAGTGAAAGTGAAGACAGTATTTGCCAGCTAATTGGTGAGTTTTGAAAACATAATCATCTTTTATCTAAGTGCTAACAACAAATGTTCTTGGTTTGCAAAACCACAGTACTTTACTAGGAATTTTTTTTTTAGAAATGTTCTTTTAAAGACCACAGAACCTTAACCCTTAAATGGCAGGTGGGCTCCAGCTCACGAGAGCGTCAGAATACTCCAACAGAAAAGACGCTCTCTACAGCCAACCCCCAGCACTCCGTAGGGTTCTTAGTGGGGTTACAGATCTAACACACAATGTCTTTTCCATTTCCTTCCTTCTGTAGTGCATTTCATTGTCATGTAACCCTGGCCCAGTTCTCCTGAACTATAAGGACAAGCTACTTCTCTATCCAACCTCTTCCGCTCTCCAGATGTATAGAAGCATAGGCTAATGCTGTCTAGAAAACACAGCTTTTATAACTAGAAAAAAAATAAAGGAGAAAGAGGGAGAGAGAAAAGAGAAAGAAGGAAACTTGTGAGAAGCTATGCCCATTGCACACATCTTTGGAATTTTGCAAAGATAGAATATGTTTGCAAAACATATATAAATCACCAGTAAACATCAGTAATGTTTACTGATGATTCCCAAATGCCAAGTCCAAACTTAAGCCTTCCTGCTGCAATTTGCACCTGCTCTGTCCTAAAGTGGCCACCGCCAAAACCCCGAAGATTCCTGGAGGCGGGCGGGATGATGTAGCTCCCTCTCGTGGCTGGTTAGCGCTAGAAGTTTAATGGCCAGCTCAGCTAAGAATCTTCAAAATGATCTTGAGCAACTCACTTCCTCTCTTTATAAGTTTCGTTTTCATCACTAGTTGAAGGAAGAATTTAAAATAATATATTTCACATCAAAAATGTCGCCCACAGTTGTTAAGGCCAATATATTAAGATGATTGTTTAACACCTGCACAGTTAGATTTTTACCAGTTTTTGTAGCAAACAAGCGGTGGAGGGTGAAAACAGGAAAGGTGGAGACGCTGAGGAAGCTTGGTGTTGATGTTGAGGGGCTGGTTTCCCTGGTAACGATGTGGTTGCTTTCTGGGTCGATCTTTCTAGATTAAAATTCTTGCCTTCTGCTTTCTCGGTGTTGCAAAAGTATCCCCCCTACATGGCGTACCATAGATGACATTATGTGGCTGACGATGGATCTTTGCTTATTAATATTTTAAGCTTATTTTTCTCGTTGCCTTGTTTTCTCGGCTTTAGAAATTAAGAAGAGAAAGAAGGTCCTGTCCTGGCCCTCTCTCATGAGAAGGCTTTCTCCTTTGTCAGACTTTTCTGGGTCTTCGGAGACAGAACTGAAAGTGTCACTATTTGATCAACCATTGTCAATGATCTGCAGTGACGACGACACACTCCCCACACCCATTCAGGTAGGCACCGTTTTCTGCCAGATGTGAAAAAATCCTTGGGAAATCTGAATGTCATTCTCATGCTAAACTTGTTGGGGCAAATCTTTAGCTGTTTCCACTTTTAGAAATGATGTTTTCACCTATGAGTGCAGTGATGAGGATAAATGGCCGCGTATGTTCTAGAAATTAGTTGTACTTGCCAATGAGCTCAGCTTGATGGTCACGGAGTTAAGAATGCTGGAAATGTGTGGCTTCTGAAAAACCAGCAGAGACGGGGTATACTGTAGATAATCAGAAATCCAATGTTTCTACAAAGTGATTCAAAAGGACGGAGGCCTGAAATAATTTTAGAATATGCTAAATTAGAACATTCACAATTTAACTCCTTTTAGAGAAATGGCATGGTTGAGGAAGACAGTTAATCGCAACCAGACTGAAAGGAAAAACTGGCATTGATAGTCTCTTATTAAGACTAACTTAGTATCATAGAGAACTAACTTTCATGGAAAGAATATTTTCTGACAGGTAAAGTTAGTTACTTGTTCAGATGCCTTATTTTAAATTTATTTCTCCTATCTAAACATGGATTTTTAGTGTATTGGTAGCAAGATGTGTTTTCAAACCAAGGGTAACCATTTCCTATTTCTCTGCCTCTTTCCCGTAGGATATTCTCACTATTCTATGCCTCAAAGGCCCTTCTACTGAAGGGATATTCAGGAAAGCAGCCAACGAGAAAGCCCGCAAAGAGCTCAAGGAGGAGCTCAACTCAGGAGGCGTGGTAGATCTGAAAAGTCTTCCCGTGCACCTGCTGGCAGTGGTCTTCAAGGTAAGGTCACAGCACTGGCGCCAAAGACCCTGCCAATGGGCTCTGACACAACACGCTCAGGAAATAAGAAATTGGCTCCTCTCCCTACAAATCAAAGTAAACCGATCTTAGAGTTCAAATTGTTTCAGTTGAAGCTTTTCTTTATTTGAATAAGCAACTGTATATCTGCGATCCCAGACTCCAGCAGAAAGTGATGCATTAAATTTCCCCAAAATTTTGATGAAAAAGGCACTTGGGTTGTCCCATGGCCAAATCCATAGTCCTGAATCTGGTGTCTCCTCAGATAATGACCTTACTGTGCCTGTTGCTGGCACCGGAAGCGGGCACTGCCTGTGGCAAGAGGAGCACAGGTTCCTCGAGATAGAACCAACACGGTAAAGATAAAGACACCAGCACGTTATGTAACACGAAGAGGCCAAACCGTACCCCTTTCTTCATCCGCCAGGACTTCCTCAGAAGCATCCCGCTGAAGCTGCTCTCGTGTGACCTCTTCGACGAGTGGATGGGTGCCCTGGAGAAGCAGAGCGAGGAGGAGAGGATAGAGGCCCTGAAACAGTAAGTCGTCAGAGCAACTCGCAGAGGCCAGGCCCAGGGGGACTCCACCTTTTCATTCACTACGGAACTGTCAGAGTGCTTCCTGACAGCTGCAATGTGTAGGGGACCAGGGTAGAATTGTTCATTACTCCCAGAATGAAAATCAGGAAGTTACCCTGGACATATACAAAAAGGGTTTTAGCCAAATGAAAGGAAGCACTTCTTCAAAATTAGAAAGGGGATTTCAGCACATACCACAAGAGGCGGGGGGCGTCTAAAAATATGTCATTCGGGAAAAAGGTATGAGATGAAATCGTAGATGAAAACTTTGAAACAGGCTACCTGGCAAAGCGTAAGAATTTGGAGTTATCCTTGGTGTCCTGCAAGGCAACCATTCTGCCATAAAAGATCCCTTCGAGCGTAGTAGAACAATCTGAAAGTGATTGTTTTGTTCGTAAAATTCCAAAGCATATTTCATAGTCTTATAATTAACCCAAATGAAAACTCTATAAAAACAAATTCCAGTGACAGCTAAAATAATTACATATGTAAATAAAAATGTGATCTGTTGGTGACTAGAGAATCTTAAATGTCTGACTTTTAAAATGTGAGCACTTTTGCCAAATCCTATGAAAGTCTGCCTATATATTATGATTGTCTCGCATGGCTAAATATTTTCAATGAAATATTTATAGAATTGGAGACATTAGAATCTCTATCCAAAAATGAAATCCAATTTCCACTTAAAGACATAAAACTCTTTCATAGCAAAAACTTCTTATGAAAAATGAAAACGACCCATATATTAGAGTCACTATTTCATTTTTTGAAAACATGGGGCTTTAAAAATCTAATTTATTATTTACTAGTAACAATGTTGTCATTTAAGTGCTACGTTGATCATATTTATGGACATACCCTTATAAACCGATTCGTTCTCCATAGAGATTTCTCAGATAATATAAAAATCTGTCATCTATGTTGGATGATTACAGTTCAGAAAAAGGAAAACATTTGTATTCAACTAGAAGAGTCTTGTGGTATTAGAAACAAAAAGACATCCTACATGGTGAAATGATTACTCAACAAAACGGTTTTCAAGATACTAAACTATGGACTTACTGAAGGAGTTAATGCTCCCATAACTTGAAATCTCTAGAAATAATTAAGGCTCACTGGTGTGAAAGGCGTCCTAATTACAAAGACCCGTTTTTTTGGTTTTTTTTTTGGTCCTCGGGATCTCTGGGTTAACCAGTTTCGTTCTATGTCAGTTGCCACTGCAAGTGTCTGAATGAGTATTTCACAATGTTACTTGTGAAAATGCACCTTCCTCCTTTTCAAGGAAGTCAGGGATGGCCAGAAAGTTTCGACCGATTACACTATGGCCAGACAAAATCATTAGCCTCCTCTGAAACGAACCTCCCTGAACTTCATTCCAGGGTTGCAGATAAGCTCCCCCGGCCCAACCTGCTGCTGTTGAAGCACCTGGTCTCCGTGCTCTACCTGATCAGCCGGAGCTCCGAGGTCAACAAGATGGACGCCAGCAACCTCGCCATCTGCGTCGGACCCAACATGCTGACCCGAGAGAATGACCAAAACCTGTCGTTTGAAGCCCAGAAAGACTTGAACAATAAGGTTCGTTCCCAGGCTATTTCTGAGGAACTCCTGACTTACCATCTCACTGTCTATTTCTAAATCAAAGTGATGAGATGCCTCGGAATTTCTCTGAGTCGAGATCCCAGGGAAACGTGAAACAACACGGTCACAGTCCCCCTGAATGAAATTGAGTAGAGCCAGGCCTGCGTCCCTCGTCACCCTGCCAGACAAAGCACACGTGCTAACAGTTTTTACATCACCGTCTCCCAGGATAAATCGGCTCTTTCATTGTTTTCTTCTTTGGTGCCTCGTACTCTGTCGGTCCAACGACCAATCTGAGAAACGCCTTTCTTAAATGAAAAATTTAGCTACTTTAAAGTTTTGTTTTTTTTTAATTCTCAAATAAAAAAAAATGCACGTCTCAAAAATAACTTTAATATAGATGAGACGGTTACTAAATTCCTGCAGTTCTATTCAGACACGTAAAGATCTCTCGTGCTCATTTGGGCACCTCCCTAATAGTTGACCCCCACGATGGCCCTATTCTGTCCCACCCCTTTAAAAAAAAAAAAAAGATTTCTTTAAGCTGACAATCGGCTACTTTGTCCTCACAGGTTAAGACGTTGGTGGAATTCCTCATCGATAACTGCTTGGAAATATTTGGGGAGAACATTCCAGCACATTCCAGCATTGCTTCTGATGACTCCCTGGAACACACTGACAGCTCAGGTACAGAATGTGCTGCCAGTGAATTAGGATGATATTCCGCTGCGATGTAAAGTGCCTCTGGGACTGGAGCGGGAGTTACCTTCACAAATCACCAAATGAGCACAGACTCAAGTCTGTAGCGAAGTCGTTAAACGGGAAAACTTTGCTCCTGGGAAGTTTCCTGCAGTGTCTCCTCAAGCTGCAGATGCTTAGGTCGAGCCTGGAACTTTCCCTTCCTATTCTAAATCATGGAGAACTGCTAAGTTTACTGAGTTAACTTTAGCTAGCGGGCCGGGGTAATAAACTTTTGTTTCCACGTAATGGAATATGGAAATGGATGCAATGAAAGAGCCATCGATGTTTAAATTTAAGATCAATAAATTGTCAGTGAAATGCTGTTTTCCCTGCCCGCCCCCCCCGCCTGCCATTTCCTTTTCCTACTTCTCTACCTCTAAATAGTAGTTTGGGGGGAAAAGCTTGTGATGTGGCAAGTTTCTTTCATCCCAAACCCCAGCGTAGCTTCACCAAGTTTCCTAGCGCCATACGGCACTAAGTGGGGTGAAAGGGACCGAAGTTCACCTCTGAAAGAATCTGAACACAGAGCTTACCTGTCCCTTCTTCATTTCCTCAGACGTGTCGACCCTACAGAACGACTCGGCCTATGACAGCAACGACCCTGATGCGGAGCCCCCCAGCGCCGCGGGCTCTCCCAGCAGGCTGGCCCAGGTGCCCGCGGGGACCTTGGTGGCCAGGGAGCCTGGCGGCCCCCGCGCCTGGACGTCCCGCCGGGAGCCCGTGGTCGGCGCTGCAGCCAGGTGGAAAAGCTCCCTGGGCGAACCGGACCGGAGGTACTCAGAGCCCAGCATAGCTTCCTCCCAGGAGTGCCCCGAGGGCGTGAAAACGAACCCCAAACTCACACGAAGTGAGGATGACTTCACCCGGGCCCGGCCAGGCTCCCGGCTGGGCAACGAGGAAGCCGAGGACCCATTTCCAGAGGAGGTGTTTCCTGCGGCCGAGGGCCAGACTCCGAGTCCAAGGGATCTGAAGGTGAAGCCCTGGGCCCCGGGCGTGGTGTCACCGTGGGGACTGGCTCCCAAGGCCTGCTCAAGCGGCTCCCTGGACGCCTCCGATGACAGCTCCCCTGTGGCTTCCCCTTCCAGCCCCAAAAGAAATTTCTTCATCAGACATCGGTCTTTCACCAAGACCGATAAAAGCAAGCCCAGCAGAGAAATCAAAAAACACTCCATGTCATTCTCCTTCGCGTCTCACAAAAAAGTGCTGAGCAAAACGCCCAGCTTGGTGTCTGTGAGAGCCAGAGGCTTGGGCCAGGACCAGGCGAGGAGGGGCCCTCGGAAGGAAAGCCAGCTGGCGGGCCGAGTGGTCCAGGAGCACCTGTCCGAAGCCCAGCACTGCCCAGCTCCGGACGCCGGCGCCAGGGCCTGTGCCCTCTCGGCAGAGGACGTGTTCTGCCTGGTTGACCAGAGAAGCCCTGGAAGCCCCCCGTCCTACCAAGAGGCCATTCGGTGCCAGGCCCTGGACCTGGCCGCCTGCGGGAGCCAGACAGTTGGCAGCATGCGGGCCAGAATGCTCAGCCTGGACGCTGGGCCGCCACCTCCCCTTCTGCCTTTTCCCCACGGAGGGGACTCGAGAAATATGTGCAGTCCAGGGACACCAGACTGGCACAGACTCTCGCCCAGGACCGAGGGCTGGAAACAAAGCGGGACTGGCTGGGCTGCTGTGGGAGCAACAGGACAAGGGACTGTCATGGCGAGGCCCGAGCTGCACCGGCCGAGAACTGTGTCCGAGTCCAGGCAGAAGGACAAGTGGGACGGCCTGGTGCGGCGCTGTAGTCAGCCGGTCTTCGAGGCTGACCAACTCCAATACGCCAAAGAATCCTACATCTAGGAGGGCGGGCCGGAGGCCATGACACAGCTCGCGGTGACCACAGTGCGTGACTGTTTTCAAAAAGTCGAGAATAAGCTTCGTCCAAGAGGTTGCGTAGAGTCCTCCCGGAGAGGACACTTACACAACTCACGTGGTGCCTGCGTGCGCCTGGATTCATGGGACATGTAGCAAATGTATAAAGTGTATTCTAGAAGATATGTTAGGTGCAAAGATGTCTCCATAAATAGGTGTCTATATTTGTTTGTGAACTTGGGGTAAACTGCATCACTGTTCTCTGCCTCCTGGAGCACTTTTCTACTGATTTAGTGTTTAAAAATAATTTTTTCTCTTTTTTTTTTTATGTTGCCTCAAATGTCATGTAAATTTTCATATTTTCCACAAGCTCCATTTAGGGGCAAATATTCGTAACTCTGTTAGAAATTTACCCTCCTAATGACCGCAGTAAGAAGAAAGAAATAGACTGCTAGCAACAGAGTTTAGTGTCTGGAGTCATCAAGGGTGTTACAAATTCCAGTAAAAGAAAAGGCCATCGTTAAAAATGTATGAAAGATACTCAAATGTGTCCTTTTAATCACCTAATTTTAAATGTGGGTAGATTAGTGAAAATGCATTGCATCATTATTAACTGGTTTATAGCACTTTGAGTTTTTGTAGTTCAGGGGTGTCTTTGCCAGCAGCGTACAGGAAATTACTTTATATGCATTGAGGGTCACATATAAACTTCAGTATAATCTCACTACAATAAATTGCCTGCCTTATTTCAAAGTAAACGGGTGCGGTCTTTGCTGACATGTTGCTTCCTTTCCTTCTGTTCATAGAAACCCACCAAGAAAATCATTCACACATCAGTTCATTCAACAAGCATTTATTTGAATGCATATATTTATTATTCTAGACTAATAGGCAAAGCTTGGGAACTTGTGTTCCAAAAGAGAGAACCTCTGTTCTCTAGATATTTGCAAAACCATGACGATGTACCCACTTCTAGCCATTTTTTCGGCAAACAGTCACTCAAGGTCAGAAAATTTAGAATACACACCAGGGTTATATAGCAAATATAGTATTTCCCATTTTTAGTGAATTAAACTTTTTAGTACTTTTAAAAACCTTATTTTTATGATGCTCAGTTTACTTGACGATTAACAAACATAATGGTAAAATCTTTGTCGTATTCTAGAACTTTAATTTCAATGGTTAAGATATTTATTTACCCTGTATCTTGGAGATATGAGACTTCTTTTTTCCTCATTTTATCAACTTTTCTCATAAAATACTGTGCATGTTTTTGATTTGTTAAAGTCATGTTTTGGGGTTGGCTAGCTACCAGAGGGTGAGGACCTGTTCTCCTCATAGAGGATTTATTAATAATGTGACATAAAGTTAAAAACGCTATAACTCAGATTGCCCAAGGCAGCATGTTCACACTCAATAACATCACTGAAAATACTTTAGTAAGCACCATCAATAACGTATAAATTTCAAGAGGCAGACGCTCTCCTGCTGACTGCTAACTTAAGAAAAGCAATCCTTTCCCAGAGTCAGACACTAATAGTAATCGTTACAATTTTTAGCATCTACCATGTGGCCAGCGCTGTGCTGGGTGTTCCAGGACTGGAAAATAAAACTCTCCACCACGTACTCAGCAACTTCTCATTGAGAATCAGAGAATTCTCATCAGCAGATGACTAAGGCTGTGAGCTAGGGGGCCTCCACCACTGACCTGACCTCCACCTGACCCAACTCAGACTGCGAAAATCCTACCCCAAATTTCCTTATTTTCAAAGAGGAGACTGGAAGTAGTTCATGCAAGCAGCACAGTTTGCTGACAAACGTTCATGACCTTGTTACCATCAAGGACATGTCATTATTGTTAGTCTTTGGACAGTGAAGAAAAAGGAATGGTGCCCGTTTCAAATAGTGTAGTGTGGCATTCCCACTTCTAGCCACGGCGTCCACTGGCCTTTTTAAATAGGATTGCCCGGGCTGCTTACCAAGCATGTGAGTCTGCAAGGACTGCCATAACAGAGTACTCAAACAAGTGGCTTAAATGACAGAGATGTATAGTGTCACAGTTCTTGAGGCTAGAACTGAAATCAAGGCATCGGCAGGACTGGCTCTTTCTGAGGCCGTGAGGGAAGGATTTGTGCCAGGCATCTCTCCTTGGCTCGTAGATGGCCATTTCTCTGTGTCTCTTTGCTCTGTCATCCCTCTCTGTGTGTCTGTCCCCAAATTTCCCCTTCTTATAGAGACACCAGTCATATTGGATTAGGGCCTGCTCTAATGACCTCATGTCTCCTCTTTCAAGTCACATTCTGAGATGCGAGGAGTTAGGACTTCGACAATGAATTGGGGGTGGGAGGACGTGACACAATCCAACCCATAACACCAAGTTTCATGACACTTTGATTACACCAAACATTTGTTAATACTTCACCATAAAGAGAGGGTCCAGGCTTACAATGAGATTTGAATGACATTTCATTCAAGGACCCAGGAACACCAAGAGTTCTGTCCTCCTAAGGGCCACACAGTCACCAATGGGACCAGGTATATGGTAAAACCAGATTGGAAGTCAAGGCCTAAGTAGGAGATTCAACCTAAATCCGGGTCTGACCCCAGCCTCCAGGGCACTGGGTCTCCCCAGCATGCCCGCATTGCCCGCTACCTGCCTGGGCCTAGCTTAGGAGGGCCCCTGGCCCTCTCACCAAGCGAGGGAAGGAGAAATGCGCCCAGTTAATGTGCCCACTGGCAAACATTCAGCATTCAATGTCCCGGGACTTGACCGAACGGACTACAATTTCTTTCTCTTGGGGTCGGTAGGAAAATTTCCTTCCTTCTATAAAGAGGGGGAAGGGTGAGTTACCAAATGCCATTGCCAGCATCCCACGTGATATGTTGTGACAACGTGCAACGGCACACACCCTGCCCACCCCCACCTCAGTGCCACCCAGGACTTGGTCCAGAAATGCTGACTTGCGGACGTTAGCCAAGGTGGGGTGTTCGTGCCGGGGCTGAGCAAAACCGCAGTCACGTCAGAGCCCAAACTCAGCAAATGCCACAGCGATGTGACACTGCGGTCCCTGGGCAGCTGAAGTCACAGCCATGGCTGGTAGTGCTAATAAAGTAAATAATAGGTAATGGCCACCGTGATTCCCATGGCCATAGATGAGAACGTCCAGAGAGCGATAAACACCATTTATCCCAATGCACTATTAAAAGAATAAATTCTAGCTAAATTTTCCTGATTGTAATCTCACTGGGAGGACAGCCAGTACTCGCCTTCCTCCTAAAGGGTCAAGTAGACAGAAACCCGCATCAGATGGGATCTCGCATATTTTGAGTTTCTTTTTTAATTGAATTATGTAAGATCTTAATTCTTTATCTGCGAAGGGAGACTTACTGAGGAATCAGAGTGTAAACATTTTGCTAGAGATGAGAACAACTCACTTTCTGGCAATTTTTTGACTGTGGACTAAGAGTCTGCCCTTCGTCCACTCCAGAGTACAAATTAAATGTGAAGGAGGAAAGACCAATGGGACAAAGGGTCACCCTCCCCCGATTATAGGCTACAAAGAGGGGGCGTCGAGAGACACACAGACCTACAGAACGCAAAAAGGGAACGCAGAATGATGACATCTCTGTAGGAAAAGGAAGTCGGTGTGTTGGCACGAGAAAGGGTATGAGACCCAGATTCCCAGGACCTGAGTCCATGCCCTAATTATGCTTCCGTGGACCAGGCTCTAAACTGTCTGAGCATCAGTTTCTTCACCTGTAAAATGGGGAGAATCATAGCACTGTATCAGTCGTGCAATAAATGGGACAGAAAACCCAGAAGGCAGAGGCTCCTGTGAGAAGGGGTTTATGCCCTCTGTTAGAAGACCAGGCCATCCAGGGCAGGCATGGCGGCTCCATGACATCCTAGGCCCCTGGTTCCTTCATGCCCGGGGTCAGCTTCATGGGCGTGTGACCTACGAAGTCACTTAGGGCCCCACGCTGAGAAGAGTCCAGCGCCGGAGCTGATGCTCTGCTGTTATAGAACATGTTCATCTTGTGCCGCTCCCTGAAAATTATGTCACTAATCTCGTTTCTGCTGTTTAGCTTTGTAGTTTACCATCCTTCCCGTGAGCATGATCCTCCTCCTCAGCCTTGCCTTCCAAATTCCAGGCAGGAAGTTTCCTGTCCAATAAATTCTACCTACATCCCAGGGGCCAGGCTTAGTCACATGGCTACTCTTACCTGCAGAGGAGTCTAGGAAATAGTTTTTTCATAGGCACATTGCGTCCCCCAACAAAATCAGTTAGTAAGAGAGAAGGGAACGATGGTTAGCAAGGAGGAACTATTAGCCTTTGACACAAAACTCAAATGAAAGAGATCATGGATATGGTACAATACCTACTAGTTTAGTTCCTGTAATAATAGAAGGCAAGATAAAGCACAGATTATCTATTTTGTATAGTAAGACAACTGAAAATGTTGACTATGATATGGGATAATATAAAGATAAGGCAGATAATCTCAAATGATTTCAATTATTCATATGCACACTGTGAGAATTTTATAATTCAGCAAGAGTAGTTTTAAGTAAAATAAATTAATAACGAATATGAATTGACCTCTTACAATATAAAAAAGATACTGTACTTGTGTAAGGAATTTACAATCTAGTGGAGACATAAGACACCCTTGAAGGCAAAAGTTAGTTCCAAATGAATGATAACAACATAAAGAGCTATAGTAGGAATGAATGATTGCTTCATGGTCCAATTAATTTTAAGATATACTTCTTATTTAAAGGAGTTTCCATATGAAATTCCAGGACAAAAAAGTACAGTTGAATAAAAACAGAACTTACTATATTCTAAGATTCAAAATCATAAAATGTGTCAAGTTTTCCTGAGTTAATTTATAAACTTTTGTCATTTATAAAAATGATAAAAGAACCAACTGGAGGTTTTGAGGCTTTTGGTTATCTTTGTTGCTTACTGAACTAAACAATCTGAATCTGATGACTACATTAAAAAAAAAAAAAATCCATAAACACAACTAAGAAAGAGAGCTCTAGAGAGGAGAGACGGAGAACTAGCCCTGCCAATTAAGCCATACTCAATATGGGAGCAGGAGATCTCAGGGCAGAATAGACAGCAAACCAACAGAATGGACTGGAAAGCCCAAGAGTAGGGGCAAATGCATCTAGGACTTTAGAAAATAAAGTTAGGATTTCAAAGCAGTGGAAAATATAAGGATAATTCAATAAATGGTACTGGTATAAATGGATGGTCTTCTGGGAAAAAAGATGGTAGAACCATATCTCACAATATATGCCAGGATGCATTCTAGATGGATGGAAAATTTAAATGTGGGAAGTGAAAAAAAATCCAAGTTCCAGGAACGAGGTAAAATTTACATGCGATCTCAGAGTGGGAAAGCCCTTTATAACACGACTTAGAAAAGAGCTAATTTCCATTATATAGATAGCTCCTGTAAATTGACAAGGGATATAATAAATTCAGTTTTTAAATGTGCAAAAGATGTGAATAGCCAACACATAGAATAAAATGGCTCTTGAATTTTTGAAAAGATGCTCAAACTCACTCATTTTTTAAAGGCAACCTGAAACTACAGTAAGATACTATTTCTTCCATCAGATAAGCAAAAACCTAAAAGCTTAATGGGTTGATGAGGCTGTGGGAAAACTAGTGATTCATTCATTTCTGTTGGAAGCAGAAATTGGTATGATCCCTATGTCAGACAGTTTGGCAATATCTGTCAACATTACGAAGGCATAAATCATTTGTATAACCAGTTCTCCTTCTAGGAAGGCACTTTATGAATAAATTTGCATGCATGTTAAATTATATGTGAACGAGGATATTTGCTTTAGCGTTAGTGCTGTTTATGATAGTAAAATGCTGGAAATGATATAAACGTGTATCGTTAGGGAGTAATTAAATTATGGTAATTAGATTCTAGCATATTCATACAGTTATAAAAATTTCTATGCAGCTCTAAAAAAGAAATAAAAAAGCTCTCCAGCTA